AATGACTGCATTTGCAGAGACAGTACAGGACGCTGCAGTGTTTGCCAGAACATTTGGTGATAAAGCAGAGAGGAGGGGGGATAGCGCAACCGGGCTCTGGGGTAATCGCGCGTGGCTTGATGATGGAGTTGGGGAGGTGAGTATTGACTTTAATCTTTTTACCGACATCTTACTTCTAATTTCTATCGAATACAGGACGAAGAAAACCTTGCTGCTGCGGATGGAATGAACCATTTCGCGGCGTGTGCTGTTCTCTGTCAAATCACACTGGATGAATTGCTCGAGATCAGCCCTGAGGAGAGAATCGCCCGTTTTTCACTACACCTTGGTCATGACAGGATGGTCAGTATTTTCGTATATTGGAGTATGTCAGAAATCTGATTATGAGCATCCATTATAGGTCAAATTGAATGAAGTGATTGACCGTGGGCGGCAGGTCATAGACGACGGAGTCTCAGTCATGGAGGAATAAATGATTGCTCGATTCTCCTTGCATGGGTTCCTTATTCTGATGTTACAGAATGCAGTACAATTCCCTCAGATAGATTGCTCTAAGTTGCTCAGGAAGATATAGTTTCATCTGTAAACTTGCCAATGTATTGCTTCTGAAACCTGAAATCCTGCAACGTCTGAAACGACCGATGCGCCACCACTGCATGCAATAACTAAAGAGTTCGCGCAGCTTAGCTAAAACTTATGATTGGGGGTGGTGCCGCAAGCGGCGCGTGCCGAATACCACCTTCAAACACAGAAACAAGATCCTATCCTATATATTCCTATATTATAAAAGACTAACTAGGCGCTTAGCATGATTACCAATAATTGGTCAGCAGATTAAACGCCGAAATTTTACCACGAAACAGTGCTGCGGAGTCGCCGGAATCACCGTGTTCTCCGGCACTTTTTAGCTTTAAGTGAGGGTCAATACTACGAGTACTTTAACAGTTGAACTCTGTGACATGAATATGTATGCATTGAGTATACTGCATGCTGTGGCTACTGCCTCATTTTACAGTATTGATATAAGAAGTGCTACAAATTGAAGAAATCACTTCAAACTTTGCAAGGCATTATGAAGAAGAATTCTGACTTAGCAAAATTGCTTGCCATCTACAAGTCTCAACTTAATACATCCTGCAGTAAACAATGATCCATGGGTTCTTGAGTGTACTATCCTTTGCCCCAGAAATGTTGTAGTATATTAACTACTTGGATGCTTTAGCAAGAAATGCATTCACCTATTAGAGAGCTGATAGTGTTGGTGCAAATGAAGGAGAGGACAACAACAATGAATTTCACTACCCTGTTGGGTATTTAAATAGTATCCATGAGCTAGGTCTTCCACTGGTAAAACTTGAGCTCAAGATTGGTGCACCT